CACAGAAGCGCGACCCTCATAGGGGGCGCGGCCAGCTCGTTCTCTACTCTGTGTCTTCCAAACTTTAAACGTCACCGCCCCCTTCCATTGAATATGTACTGCTCTTCTCGATTGCTCGTTTCCGCGAATGCCTTACTAGCGTCGCCTGCTATGCTACCGTGTTGCACTTACCTCTATCTAGACACGGCTTGCCTGGACCAACTTGTGGGAGGGGTTGGACACGGGTATTGTTAGGGTCAAGTCGGGCCTGTCCTCCTAGAGGCGGATTTTGGATGACATATAAAAAATATTCAAACATATCCCAAATGGTCAAACCATACTCACCAAATCGTCCCCATACTATATTTTTACTATGTTCGAATATTCCTCCTGTAGAGGATCAGGCCCCACTTCATGTTAGGGTTGATGGGGGAAGACTCCAGCGGCATCAACTGCAATCAACAACGATGCCCTTACGGCGCCGCCCATACGCACGCGTTTCCCCTTCTCTCTCCTCTGGCTTACTTCTCGAATTAGGTAGGTTGGCTGTTTGGTACCTCTCCTCACCTGTCGCCGCGGACTGGGTTACTCTGCCCTTGACGGCCACTCGTCTTTGCAGTTCCAATTGCGCCACAGCTTCTGCACCCGTCCGCGGCCTAATGTGTTTGCTGTTTCGCCTAAGTCGGCGACATACCATCACTACCGCTGGCCCTAAGTTCGCGCAGCGTCAAAAGGGATATCGAGGAGAAGGAGGAGGAGGAGGAGGAGGAGGAGGAGGAGGAGGAGTGGCAGGAGGAGGAGGAGGAGGAGGAGGAGGAGGAGGAGGAGGAGGAGGGGGGACGATTTGTGAGGGAGCAGGGAGGCGGAGGGGGGCGAACCCACAGGCCGAGCGAGAGAGAGGAGGGGGAGGAGGAGGGAGAGGGAGGGAGAGAGAGAGGAGGGGCACCAACGACACACAGAGCTCCCAGCTGTCGTGGGGCCGACGCAGCATCCCGGGTCCAGGGGAAAGGAGACAGCCGACGATTTGATTTTTCCCATGCGCTGCCCGAGAAGCCCCGGCCCCCCTCCTTTGGGAGAGTCTTCGTCCAAGATCAACGCTTGCTGGCCCCGAGGCCCAACGACGGACCCCGTGCGGCCGAGACCGAGGGAACACTTTTTGGTCTGCGGGTCGAGAGCGGGCCTCTTCCGGATAAGAGCTAGGCGGGGCGCGCGAAGCACTAATTGGGGAGACAGGGCGCGGGCGGGCGGGGCCTCAGGCGGCCGGAGGGTGCGGAGAACAGGCGGTGCCGAAGAGCTTAACACAGGAAAAGGTCCGCCTGGGACAGGAGCCTTGGGGCGAAGTCCCAGAGGGAGAGCGAAGTGGTGTTACCGTCAAGAGACTGATGGACCCCGACCCCCGACGGCGTGATTTTCTCACAACGTCGACCCCCAGGGGTCTGGACCCTTTCGCCGGGGCCGGTTCTGCACTCCGAGTCGCTTTTTGACGGTCCCGAGGCCCGGCGGGGACCTCCCGAGGGCGAAAAGAGCCAAAAACCTCCCGTCGTGATTTTTGTCACGACGCGAGGGGGTCTGGGGAGCACGCGCGGAGGCAAACCAAAAAACACACACACACACACACACACGCCGTCGGAGGTCCTGCGCCCCCCCCGTGGGGCCCGCGGGCCGGCAGGGCTCGGGCCTCTGGCCATCGCTCGGGCGTTCATTCCCTGTGTTTTTTCGGCTTCGCGCGTGGTTTTTTCGCCAAATGACCAAGGATGCTCCTCCTCCTCCCTGCCTCCTCCCTCCCTCCCTCCCTCCCTCCCTCCTCCTCCCCCCCTCCCTCCTCCCCCTGCTCCTCCCTCCCTCCCTCCCTCCCTCCCTCCTCCTCCTCCGAAGGAAAAATGCACACGTCCGAGCGATGCCGAGGCCTCCCGCGCGGCCGGCCTCGGGAACGGGGCCAGGGGCCGCCCACGGAGCGCTCTCGCGAGGAGGCGCGCGGCCGCGGCACGGCGTGCCGAGGCGGGGAGAGCCCCAGGGGAAGCCAACTGAAAGGGGCCCCAGGACACACAAACAGGGCCGAGGCGGGGAGAGCCTCTGGGGAAGGCAACGGAAGGGGCCCCAGGACACACCAATAAATACACCCACAAATGAACATAGTCCCCATATGTTTCAAATTTTCGCGTTGTTTGTCTCCCCCCCCCCACCTCCCATATTCTCCCATATTTTCTGGGGAACCAACTGAGGAACCTCCGCTGCACGGCGTGCCTCCGGGGACACACAATTAAATACACACACGTAAAAATTGTCCCCATCTGTTCCTATATATTTTCGGGTGCTTTCGTCTCCCCCCCAACTCCCATATGTTCCCCTATTTTCTGGGGAATCGCCGATTAGTTGTGTCTGCGTGTTTTTGTTTCCCTCCTGACCAACGAGCACCCGGAACCTCAGCTGGGGGAGGGGGGGGGGTCCGCGGCGAGTCGATGGAAAACCAGAGGGGGCCTGCTCTGGATCAGGAACCTGCCGCAGACAGGTCGACCCCCTATCTCCGACCTTGCGCACAGCGCCGAACGCAACGGCCGCGATGAGGATAAACGGAGCCAACCGCCACCCCACACCTCTCCCGGGGTGCGCTCTGACCAAGGTTTCCGAGGCGAATCAAGCCGCGGCGACGAGGGTCAACTCAGGAGGACCAGAAAGTCTGCGAAACGTTTACAGCCCCCACATGTAGATTCGCGAGAAGGGTGTGACAATTCAGACCCGCGCAAGAGGGCTCAAATGTATAGACCCTGACCAAGCAAGAATTGTCGACCCCGACCTGGAAGACTTTGAAATTTAGACCGCGCGCGAAAAGCGGCGGTTTACCTTTGGGGGTGCTTCAGGTACATTTCCACTGCCGTTCGCCGCTTCCTGAAAGTTGGGGAAGCTGGCGGAGGGTAGCGATATCGGTAACTCTGCCCCCTCCGGCTACAGTCCACCCCGTATAGTACGGATGCGCGGTAAGGATGCAAGGGCCTTGGAAAGGACATGTTAACGTTTCTCGAACGAGATTGGCCAGCGAGGGTCGCTAAGGATGGGCCGAATGGGCAAGAATACAATAATCTTGGAAATTGTGAATCCTGACTGCGCGGGGTTGACACGGGGAGACCAACAAGTACGAATACCGCTACTTCCCGGACTTTTCCCCGGGTGCGTTCTGACGGAGATTCCGAAGCGAATCCAGCGGTGGCGACGCGGGCCTCCCAGGAGGGCGAAAGAGGGGAAAACGGTCGAAGGGTAGCTGTATGGGTACCTGTTGCCTCCTCCTGTGTCTGTACCCCTCCCCGTTGCCCTGGCCCTCGCCCCTCTTTTGGACTCCCCCGGGAAAGAAAAAGAGAGAGAGAGAGAAAAGAAAAAAAAAGAGAGAGAGAGAGAAAAAGAAAGAGAGACAGAAAAATACGAGAGACAGCAGCGACGGAGGGATGAACCCACCCTTACGACGAAAGTGAATTGCATGGGGTCCTCGGTCACGACGACGGCGGCGCCCCCGGGCGCCAGCAGCGACGCCAGCCCGCGCCAGATGGCGGCTTGGACTTCCGGGGGATCCACGGCGGCGCTGCCGACGGCCGGGGGGCACGTCGGAGCGGCCGCGCGCGGCGAGGAGCTCGGCGGCGCTGCGCCGGGGAGTGTTTTCGGCGGTGGGTTTATGCTCCCTGGGGGAAGAGTGGGAAGGGGAGGGGGAGGGGGAGGGGGGAGGGGGATGGGGAGGAGGAGGAGGGAGGAGGAGGAGGGAGGAGGAGGAGGAGAAGGAGGAGGGTGAGGGGGAAGGGGAGGAGGAGGAGGAGGAGGAGGAGGAGGAGGAGGAGGAGGAGGAGGAGGAGGAGGAGGAGGAGGAGGAGGAGTAAGAGCCGTGGAGCCGCGGAGAACAGAGGGGCGAACCCACGCGAGAGGTCTGCCCCACGAAGAGTACAGCCTCATCGCGCAGCGGTCCACCCTCCGCCCCCGCAGGGGGAGGACCCCCCTCCTCGCGTGCAGGGGAGGCCGCTCGCTCATCGGCGAGGAGCTTACGCAACGCGGTCGAGGTACAGGTCAGCGCCTCGTCGCCCCGCGACTCGCTGCTCATGCGGGATGGCGGTGGTGGGTAGGGTTAAGTCGGGCTTGTCCCTCTACAGGAGGAATATTCAACAATTGTCGAAGAAAGCATATATCGGTACGAGGTTTTGACATTTTTTGGCGTTTGGGGATATGTTTTAACTATTTCCATGTGTCCTTCAGAATCCCCCTGTAGGGGGACAGGCCCGACCTAAGCGAAGGGGGGCGGTCGGATGACCTCCTCATTGCAAAGTCCTTCCCGACTATCGGCCCCTGCCAAAACATAGGACACGTGTAAGTGGTCTGGTGCCCCAGGGCGAGCAGGCACGAAGGCCCCTTGGGACTTCTGGACCACACGGCCCCGCCACACCACCAAATGCACGATCCCCGCGCCTGGCATCTCAAGGTGGCTCCAGCGTCACGGGCCCGGGCAAGGTGCCGCGGGGCGGAAGCCCAAAAAACGAGCCGGCATGCTGACACCAAGCCGTGAAGCGCACATGGCAACGTCAATGTCCCCGCGGCGTGCGGCCAAACACCAGGATGCAGTACCCAGCAAAACAGTAACTGCCCCCTCGCCGCGGGGAGGGGGAGGAGGAGGTGGTGGAGGAGGAGGAGGAGGAGGAGGGCGAGGAGGATAACTAGGAGGAAAGAGGAGGAGGAGGAGGAGGAGGAGGAGGTGGAGGAGGAGGAGGAGGAGGAGGAGGAGGGAGGTGGAGGCTGCGGGAGGCAGGGGGTGGGAGGAGGAGGAGGAGGAAGAGATGGAGGAGGGGAAGGAGGCAGAGGAGGAGGACGGGGGGATGAGGGGGAGGAGGAGGAGGAGGAGGAGGAGGAGGAGGAGGAGGAGGAGGAAGAGATGGAGGAAGGACGGAGCACGCGCAAGGAGGACGAGGAATGAGGACATGAGGATGGGGGAGGAGGAGAAATGAAGGGGATAGGAAGAGGGACGCGAGGACCCCAAAGACTCCTCTAACAGAGAAGGCCAGAGAAGGGGAGACCTCAGGGTGTGGGGAGGATGTAGGAAACGAAAAGGAGGAGGTAATCCCACCAGCCCTTTGGGCCGAGGTGGTCTAGTAATATTTGTAGTTCCTCTTCCAAGAAACTCTTCCCCTCCGGGAGATTTACCCCACACCTCCCTGACATTTTTCGGGGCGGTCCGTGATAGGCTAGGGCGTCTAAGATGGCCCAAAGTGGCTTCAAGAGGGTGCCCGATGCTTCAAGGTGGCCTGCAAGATGGCTCAAGACAGCCGACGATGGCTCAAGATAGACGGGCGCCACAAGACGGTTCCAAATGCGCTCGGAGCCTTCATCAGGACAACCCAGGGAGGCCAACATCCGCACACAAACCAAAAGAACACAAACGATTTGCTACGTCATGGCCCAAGAGACGCTCAAGTGGGGCCCAAGAGCCCCCCCAAAACAGCCCCCGAAGCGCCCACGAGCGGCCCACAGGGGCTCAAAGACGCGATTTTGATGGCCTCATGGGGGCGAGGCAAATCGAATACCCCCCCTTTTTGATCGATGGTCTCCAGCCTGTCCCCAAGAGGCCCTCCAGGGCTCCCAAGTGACCGCCAAGGGAGCTCCGCTCCAAGAGGGCCCCACGATGGCCTCATGACCCCCCAGAGGAGCCCCCAAAGGACCCCCCCGAAGAGCCCCACGAGGGCTCCAAGTGGCGACCTTGAAGGCTATCTACGTCATCGCTGTCCCCCTCCTCCTCCTCCTCCTCCTCCTCCTCCTCCTCCTCCTGCTCGTCCTTGCCCGAATCGTGTTCCTTTTCCTGCCCCTCCTCTGCCTCATCGTCGTGGTCGTCGTCGTCCTCCTTCTTCTCCTCCTTCTCCTCCTCCTCCTCCTTATCCTCCTCTTCCTCTTCCTCCTCCTCCTCCTCCTCCTCCTCCTCCTCCTCCCCCTCCCCTCGTCCCTACGCGGGCTGCAGCCATGGCCTGAAAATTCCCTCCAAGGCCGCCACCATGCTGCCACAAATCTTTCTGTTCGCCCTGATTGCCCGCTTTGTGTCACTGGCATGTGTCTCTTTGTTCCGTTCCCCGTCAACTCTCATGAACAAAATGTTTGGATGGGATGGAAGCGTCAAACCGTCTATAGGTTGAGGCAGGGATGTGAATGGGGGCGGTGAAAAAAGGGAACGGAAGGAGGCAAGGGGATGCTCGAATGGGTCATGAGGTTGTTTTGGACGGTTTCCGAAAATTCAATGGATACCCTCCTCGTAATTACGCACCCATCCAACTCACCCCCACTCCTACCCACCCATCGCGCTGTTCCGCCATGGGAGACCAACACGGAGGGGGAAAAGGAAAACACGAAAGGGGGAGCAGGAGGGGAATGTCGGAATTGCGGGGGGGAGAGTGGGGAGGAGAAGGAGGAGGAAGAGGAGGACAATGACAACTGCAAGCCCAAAACTCATCAACGATGTTGTAACAAACTTTCCAATCACGTCCCGTCCTCCCCGCAACCCCCAAACGAATTCCTTCTCATTGAACGCAGCGAATGTCAAATTGAAAGGCAGCCGCTTGAGGTTACTCAATCGCGCCAACACACCATTCCTGGGGCTTCAACGCCGCGCGTCAACGGGACCCTTGCATCCGGACACGAAGCCGTGCTAGAACGCGGTCCGTTGGATTTCGTACGTCGAATCAACGCTATTGCTGCGCCTCAACAGCCGTCAAATTACCAAAAGCACCATTCCTGGGACTTCAACCGCAACTTGTAAGACGCCGCGGCGACAGCCACGTGTTGAACGCGCCACCCGCCCTCCAGCCCTGACGCTGCTGCAAATTTGTAATACGAATGCGCGCGGTGCTAAAACGAAGATCACCGCGGCGCTGAAGCGAGGGCCACATTGGAAAACAACCCGCCCTCAATCCGTGAAGAGCTTGCAAGCTTTGAAAAGCGGATATGCGCGGCGCTACGCCGAGAGAGCCCCATTCTTGAAAAACGGCCCGTCCTCGATCTGCGAAGCTGTTGCGAATTTCGCGCTTCGGAATCACACGTTGCGAGGACGTTCCGGGCGACGCGCCCAGCCACCCCCACCCACGCGTCTGGGGGCGCGACAAGGAAGAGTTGTCTATAAGGAAATGTGATAGGGGAGGAGGAGGAGGAGGACGAGGAGAAGGAGGAGGAGGAGGGTAACGTTTTCCTGCGGGCGACTGGGGCAGCAAGCTCCGAGAATCAGGAGGCACCTGGGGACTGCAGCACATGCATGAGAGCGCGCTGGGCCACTGAAGGGACGAAGGGAAGACACACTTATACAAACGATGTGATATCTGGCCATGAGCAGCCCACAAGAAACTGGAATAACAACACGGGAAATTCCATATATCATGACCTTGAACGCTCTCAGGGTAAGGAGCTTGAAATGGGAGAGAAAGTCTGCTGGTTCATCAAAACATCTTTCCCGACGGTCATCTCGAGACAGTCCACCAAAGCGCGGGATTACATATCGCCCTGCTCTGGCATCGAACAGAAAGCCGATCTCAAGGACACTGAACCTTTTAGCCCATGCCGCGGTGAAGCGGTTCACCAATTTGTTGAAGCCTCTTCCCTACAACGAGCTCCCAATACTTGCGCGAACACCAGCGAGCACAAACTTGAGGTCAGGGCCGTGACTGGGAGGATGGGCCGAGCTGCCTCCGCCCCCAGCATGCCTAAACGAAACATCAGCCTCCGACGCAGATGAAGCCTCGCAGCACGCTCGACCGCCCAACGCCGATGAGGCCAACTCGATATCGGGATCCACTAGCTCCTTCCGCATAGCACCTCCGTCTTCAGATACACGAGCATCATCTTGAACTCAATCTTCTTCTGGGCCTGGCACTCGAGGAAAGGCCGACTCTTCCCCAACATCGTCCACCCAAGGCAAGGTCGGGCCGCAAAAGGCGGTGTCCTGCTCTTCTGTGTCGGTCAAGCGTATTCCTCTGGGCCTGCTAAAATGGCGATGGTCTTCTGGCTCGAACTCCACGTTGTGCGCGCCTTCAGCTCGCCCGTGAGCTGGCTCCTGTGCCTGCTCGGCGGTGTCGCCGCCCTACGCGCCGAAGAAGAGGCCGCAGGCTGCCACGTACCCCAAGTATATTCAGCCTCCAGGCTGGATAGATCCTCCACCGCCTCCATCTTCACCCACTCCGACATCCCAGGGTGAGGCGGCCTCGGGGGTGCATGAGGGCCACTCGGCGGATCTGATAACACATTCGGCGCCACACCCTTGCCGCCCTTCGCCCTCTGCTTGGAGGGCCTCTCTAATACGTACTTGTTATGCTGCTCCCACTTGCCCTCCTGCAACTGCACTTGTCCCACTCTACAGCCGACCCCACCGCCTCTGAAGTGTAACGCGGGTACTGCTGGAACTGGTAGCAGGCGGGCTGCTGCATCATCGCACCAGGCTGGCATACCGCCAGCCGCCATGAGCCTCGCGGCCCCCATCCGTTCCTGTGGCGGGTGAGCAGGCCGCATGTCTCCTGGAGGTGGTGGCAACGAGATGGGCGGCGCGCGCGGTGATGCTGATATCCACGACAGCGTCAATGGACAAACGGATGCGCATTTTAGCGGCGTCCCCATCACCGCAGGCAGAAGGCATTAACAGCAGATTAATCCCCTGGCGTTGATGGGGGAGCCAAGAGGTTCAATGGACCTCTCCATGGGTGCGTTCTGACCAGAATTTCGAGCCGAATCCAGCAGTGGCGACTAGGGCCTCCCCCGAGGCCCAAAAAGGCGAAAACGAGGCGAAGGTAGCGGTATCGGTACCTTTTCCTCCTCCGAGTTGACCTGCGAGATAGCAGGCCCTGAAGCCGAGCACAGCGCCGTTGGTACAGCCCCAGGGCGTCCTGGTCGCAGATACCGCGCCCGCGATCGTGCAAACCCCGCGCGCCCGCGCACGTGACTCCTCGAGTCAGAGCGGCGGCTCGAGATGAGGAGGAGCACGGAGAGGGAGGGACGGAAGGAGGAACGGAGGGGTGTACGAGGATGAGGAGGAGGAGCAGGAGGAGGAGGAGGAGAAGGGGGAGGAGGAGGAGGAGGAGGAGGAGGAGGAGGAGGAGGAGGCGGAGGAGGAGGAGGAGGAGGAGGAGGAGAAAGAGGAGGAGGAGGAGGAGGAGAAAGAGGAGGAGGAGGAGGAGGAGGAGGAGGAGGAGAGGGAACGGCGGCCCTCGCCCCTCGCCGCGCAGGACGCCCCGGGCCCCGCATGCACCCGGAGCCCAGCACCACGTCGAAGGTCCCCACCTCTGGGGGGACCCAAGCAGATGCAGTCTGAAGTGGCCCCGGGACACACAGATGAATGCACGCAGGTCCCAGGATCCCCCATCTGTTTCCACATGTTTGGGGGATCTTCGTCTTCCCCCCCACTTCCCATATGTTCCCATGTTTTTGTCGAAGGAATGGGCAATTATTTGTGCCTGTGTTTTTTCCACTCCTGACAAGCAACGCGAGTAACAGGGAAACGAACAAGGACATAAAACATAAAAACTCTGAGGTTCGCGCGGACCTCTCGGATCGTCGCTGGGACCCCCTGGCGGCGCTTCAGGCGCCGCCCCTGGCGCGCTCCGCGCGCCAGGGAGGGAGGTCCAGCGCGGATCCGAGAAATCCGCGCGGACCTCCGAATTTCTGTGCTTCTGTCATTATTCGTTCCCCTAGGTAGGGACCAGCGCCTTCCTCGAGGTTGCCCCTGTGTCCTTGCCTCTGCGGCCCGTCCTTTGCGGTTTTCAAGAGGAGGAGGAGGAGAAGGAGGAGGAGTAGGAGGAGGAAGAGGAGGAGGAGGAGGAGGAGGAGGAGGAGGAGGAGGAGGGGGAGGGGGATGATGAGGAGGAGGAGGAGGAGGAGGGGGGGGGGGAGGGGGGAGGGGAGGAGGAGGAGGAGGAGGAGGAGGAGGAGGAGGAGGAGGAGAAGGAGGAGGAGGAGGAGGAGGAGGAGGAGGAGGGTCAGGGGCCCCTTGCGTCCCTGGGGTTGGGGCCGCCCGCCGTCCCCCCCCAAAAAGCTCAGCTTCGGCCTCCAAGGGTTAGGTCGGGCCTGGCCCCCTACAGGGGGATTTTCGGCGAATAGTAATAATAATACTAATAACCAGTCCTTCGTAACACGTCTTGCCTGGCCCGGCGCCGCTGCTGCAGGAGGACACCGAGTGTGCACAGCAGGAGGACAGGGAGGAAGGACCTCGCAGACCTCTGCGGCCACTGTCAGAGGCGACGACAAGGGCGAATAGCCCAGAGAGCAATACATGTATCCAAGGGCGCCGATGATCAATGTTTTCGACAAGGCTTCCGGGCGAATGCGTGTGATGCCCGCCCCTGCGCTATTCGCCCTTGTCGTCGCCGCCGACACTGACCCCTCGGGGGGGGGAAACTGGCAAGTCAGCTGTGACCCCAGGCCCGGTATCCCGTGGTCGGCTTGCGAGGGCTCCAGGGATCGGCGGCGGCCGCCAGGGGGCCGAAGATGTCTGGGTCCCTCCCTCTTTCCTGGGGAGACAGCCCAGACCCCCAGCGTCATAATTTTTCAGGGACCGACCACAGCCATGTTCAAAACGATATGTCGGTTAGAACGAACAACGAAACGAGGCACAACGTTCAAAACGAACGTTTAAACGAACCCGGTGCCAGACGAAAACGAACGACGAAACGGGGCATTCAAAACGACGACAACAAACAACAACATGAACCAACAACGAACAACGACACGACAAACATACAACAAGGGCCCAAACCACGCCAAACAGCGCTGTGGTCGGTCCTGGCATTTGTTTCATGATGTCAACCCCCGAACTGGCCATCCCTCGGACGTCAATTCCGTGTGCACTGTTCAGTCTCGTGCGTGGCTTTTTCGCCAAATGATCAAGGATGCTCCTCGATGGTCCTCGCCGAAGGAAACACGCACACCTCCGAGCGATGCCAAGCGAAGGCCTCGACCCATTCCCCAGGACCAGCCTCCCGTCCCAAGTCGTTGTTGGACGGCTCTGCGGCACGGTCAGGGCCACCCGGGGGCCGAAAACACGGACCAATCTCCCGTCGCGATTTTGTCATTGAAGGGGCCCTGGGACACACAAGTAAATGCACACGAATAAAAGCAACTGGGGTTTTGTCTTCCCCCCCACTTCCCATATGTTCCAATATGTTCGGGGGAAACGAAGATTCATTGTGTCTGTGTGTTTTTCCCCCTCCTGATTCATGATTCGATGGGGGCCTGGGAAGGCGGCGCCGTTCTCGCTGTTCCCCAGAAGGCTGGGAGGTCCGCCAGCTTCCGGAGAAATGTCCTGAGCCTTCACCGAAGACGCAGACCCTGCTCGGAAGGCGCGAAGGCGGAGCCCGAGACGCTACCGTCGGGGCGGTAAGGAACCCAAAACAAGGAATGAGGCCCCTTTTCTCTTGAAGTTCAACTTCGATTTCCCATCGAAAATCCAAGGATAACCTTGGGCAAAATATGAAACAATGAAGGAACACGAAGCCCCTTCCCAATGGAAAGGGTTCCTTATTCAGAGCCCCGACTGTATCTTCCCGCGGCATTTCTCGAGCCGCATCGATCTGTGCTATAGTCCCAAGACCCCGCAGCCGGGCGAAAACGCCCGGATCTCAAGACGCTCTCGACATGCGGTGCCTCGACTCGTTCAAAACAGCGTGCCCACAAGTCCACGCCCTTCCCCAGGGCTGGTTTTTAATCCCGAGCCGTTTTTGGACCATCTCGAGGCCCGGCGAGGCCTCCGAGGCAGAAAATTGGCTAAAACCTCCCGTGGTGTCCTGTTCCCGGCGGATGGGTCGTAGGATCGCACCGCATCGCCAATGCATCGGCGAGGCATCGCCGATGCATCGGCGATGCACCTTTTTTTTTTGGGGGGGGGGGGGCACCTTCGGCCAGACCAGTTTTACTAAGCGGCTGACCAAGCAGCCACTCTGAACCTAACACCAGACGAGGGACCAGCAGGCGACCACGGACTCATCTCCCAAAGAGGGAGGATGTCCCTTGGCCACTCGCCAGTCCCCCAGGCGTTAGTCTGACCCCGACTCCGAGCCATCAGGGCGGTTCGGAATCAGAGGAGCCTCATCCTCCTCGCTTCGCAGCAAGTCGGACACATTCCTCATCACAGCACGGGGGTCAGACGCAGCGGAGGTGGCTTGCACGGGAACCTCTGGCGTTGCAACAGGCACCCTGACCTCAAACAATTCACGGGCGGTTGCTTCCTCCGCCTCGAACAAAGCATCAAACACTTCATCTCCAGGTGCAGGTCTCTGCACACCTAGAGCTTCATGTTGCCCTTCCCGCCCCCCGCTCCCAAGGTCCACCCGCACCCCCGTTTCTCTCTCGGCAATCCTAGCCCTCAGAGGGGCCAAACATTCCAAGTGAGACGTGCACGGAGGGATGAGGTGCACCCGCGAAGCTGTCGCAAAGGCACGCACTGCCGCTCCTGACACAGGACGTTCAGGAGCTGCACACGAAACTGCAACATTGCGCTGAGGATGAAGGCCACGCTTGAGCCTGCTCAGCACACTGGCACCTGCGCTGTGTTCCCTGGGATCACATTTCACTGCCAGATTACGAACTTTCTCTTGAGTGTAGCTACCGCAGAGCATACAGAACACTAGGGGCAGCTTCTCGTCACCTACTTGCGTACTAGCTAACTTGTGGCCGTGGTTGGGGGCCTCGGAGAGCAACCTGGCGAGGCTTCTCGAGAGTCCCTTGCATCCAACCTCTGGCCTATCTCGGAGGTTACCCCCATGAAAACTTAAACATTTGGCACACCTGTGGCCCCACAGCCAGGGCTCCCAGTCATGCCAGCTCGTGGCGCACGCAATGACCTTACGCTGGCGCTCACGCCGCGGTGGGCGCTGGTGGTGCACCCTCGGAAAACGCGGCAACACATTCGCCACGAGGCGGGCCGCCGTTTCGAGACTCTCGATCGAGCTATCCAGCTGCTGCCAGTCGGCTGGTGAGGGTCTGGGATGCAGGTCAAGGGCTCCTTTAGCCTCTCGATCCGCTCGCCAGTTAGCCTGGCCAATCCACCGCTCTGGTGGGGGCAGCTGCTCGATGTCTTCTAACTTCCTATGGGCAGGGGTGTGAACAGCTGGGGCATACTCTTGGTCCTTCATGTGGAGCAGGGCCCCCCTTCTCAACCCTCCATAACGTTGCTTGGCCGAAACTTGACATGACGGTTCCATGTTATGCAGTTTGACGGCATTCATACAATCGCTGCATAACGTCGGCCCATGATTTGGTACATATATTGGCAGCAAGGCAAGCTGGAGTTGTTCTGCTGCTTGACTGGTTTGGGGTAAACTCGGCCACACAACTCCTTTTGCTACATACCGCTGCACACCCTCAGCATCGAAGAACACCCACGAGCAAGCCGCTCTCGAAAGCTCTCGGATCGTGTGACGAGCGCAAGACCCGTCGCCAGCCTGGAAGAAGGAGGACCCATCAAACTGATCCCACTCCACTTTTTGACCACTCATATCAAAGAGCTCTGGCTCGTGCACATCCGAGAGGTTCGGCCACTCGGCCGCTGGGTGCTGAAACTTGAGGGCCTCGAAAAACTGCGCGTCCCCGCTCTGGGCGCGCTCGAGAAAGGCCGTGGAGACGTCGGCAGCCTGCCGTGCCGCAACGACCTCCGCGTGCTGGCAGGCGAAGATCCTGTGACCTACCGAGTCGGGCGCCTGACATAAGGGGCAGAGGCCTGGTGTGATGTACCCCGACCGTAAAGCCCCGTCTTCGGTCCAGAGACCTTCACAAAAACACGCCATCACTAAATATTTACCCTGGGCGTTGAGACCAATACCTTTAACCCCGGACTTGGTGATGCGACGGATTGGTTCCACACGCACTCTGGTCCCAGGGGTCCACCCAAGTTTCTTGCCCAAAACTCGCTCGTGGTGCCTCTGGACCCCCAGGCTAAGCCAGTGCCCGACCATGGAGGGGGTGGAGTACAGCAGGGATATCTCCACGCCGTTATCATCGCGCCAGTCGAGGGGGGTGTAGGCTTCCCACCCGATACGCTGAAAGGAGAGGTGCATTCTACTGATCGGGCCTTTGCTTTTTGCCCAATCGTAGCCTGTGGGCGGGACGGTCCGCCACATGCTGCACAGCTTCTGAATCGAGAAAAAGGCGTGCTCGGGACGCGTGGTAGCCGCCCACACAGCATGTGACCACGCCAGAGCAGGGGCAATCATGCTCCTCCACATGGGGTCGCCTAGGAGCTCCGTCTTGGCTCTCAAGGAAACCCCAGCATGTCTCGGCGCCTGAAACGA